TATGTCATTTATTCAGAAGAAAAATCTATACATATTATGCACAAATATATTGATACATTCGTTATAAAAATAAATTTTCCCGTTAATCGGGTAATAGTTAAGCTGCTGGTATATGCAATTTTTCACGCACACTAGCATCCTCGCAAATTGTCTATACACACTACAACATTGATTCCGCATTCACGGAGCTGTCACTTTCATGAAGCGCGGTATCTAGTCAGAGCGCCCGATGACTTATCAATAATCTATGACCACATCATTATTTAATTTTTTGAAAAGAGACTAATGACACAATTTCTTCACACAAATCATCGCCGTTAATATCCAATGAATCATTTGCAGAAAGTTTTTTCTGCAAACGATGACAGCTATTTCTTAATTGACTTTGATCTTGGTCAAAACTTAGTTTGAATAAAAAATTAAACACGTCATTTTGATTATTCAATAAATTAAATCTTTCGTCTACGGAGGATAAAGCTTGATCCAATATATAATAAAATACATTAATTTTAAAAGCGGTCTTCGGATCATTAATTTATAGTGTTACGAGCTTGGGGTTCGAGACAATTAAAAACTGCCGATTGAATTACCAAAATTGACACTTTAATTACACAACACTAATTACAATCTAAAATCACACTAATAATAAAACACAGTTCGCCGTTATTTCGCTTCGAAGTATTCTCTTGTATCGCCAATTCAATACTGCCCCGGTCGTGGTCTATACCGGCCTTATATAGGGCCTCAGATAGTTTCCAGAACCTTCTACTGTAGCGACATCTAGAATGTTCGAGTACATATCGGTCCCGAAATTTCTGGAAGGGTCTCGACTCTCCTAGTTCTGCTACTCGACACTAGAGGGCGCTAGTGTAACTAGTGTTGCCATGTACAAGACATTAATAGTGGCGCGCAATACTTTCATTTACTCGACACTAGGGGGCGCTAGTGTAACTAGTGTTGCCATGTACAAGACATTAATAGTGGCGCGTAACAATAGTATGGTCTTCGTGTTCATAATCAAAACTCTTTGGAGTCTTACGATGTCTTAGGGGTCTGGATCTATAAGTTTCAAATTCAGCCTCGACATCTAATTTTTCGGCAATTTTCATGGCATCATTTACAATTTCCTCAAAATTTGCGTCGGTTCTAATTTTTATTATAAACTTCTTTAATTCCGTTAAAGCATCTAATGCAACTTACATATTCATATCGATGGACTCCAGAATTTTACTCACATTTATTTTGTCAAAATTATATGCCATATATGAACGAACTGTAGAAATGGCTTGTGTCGAGCTCGAGCACCTCATTGTTGTAAGTGTTTACAGACCCCCATGCGCTACTTATGACTATTTTGAAAGGATTGTGGAAGAAGTTTTACTCAAACTTAGTAAACAGAACAAGTCTGTTGTAATATGTGGAGACTTTAACTCTAACTCCTTGAAACTTCTTCCATTAGTATTAAGTTTAGCTCATTGTTTAAATAGTATAATCTTGTTAATTTATTCTTAGAACCAACACGTATTGCTGGGCCTAGTGCGGCCTGTATAGATAACATTTTTACAGATGTTAAGCCCTTGCATAAATCAATTATCAAAATTTAAGTTTAGATCACTGTGGACAGTTGGTATCACTACCTTACATACACAAAAAACAGAAAAATAAGAAAGTTGTGTTTGTTCCAATAAATGAACATCGCTTGGAGAGGTTTAGAAGTAATATAATAAAAAGACTTCCATCACTTTCATTTAAAAATAGTGCTAATTATTTGTATGATACATTATTTAAAATTATAAGTTGTGAATTTAGTAGAATATTTACTTCTAAAACTTTTTCTTTTAACAGTCGCAAATCATTTAATGAATGGGCGACAGTAGGAATTTATAAAAGTAGGCGAAGGTTATACGAGTTTTATGATGAAAGATCATATAATAGTAGTGTTATATTTAGAGATTATGTAAAAACATATTCTAAAATATTTAAAAAAGTGTGCTCCACTGCTGAGGCTTTACATTTAAGTAACAAAATTAAAACTGCATCCGACAAAATTAAAATGACCTGGAGAATAATATAATTAACAATAATTTAACACGGTTTTAGAAGGGGTACTACATATATTATCTTATTATTACTTAATCTATATTTTGCTCTGTAGTGACGACGCTAGAGATTCCACGACCTCATATCGTCTAGTGGTAAGAGGTGACAGCGGGGAAACTGAAACAGGATATGGGCAGCAGTATCTCCAAGAAAACAGCTCAAAATAAAAATTAAAACTGTAGGTGGTGACCGCTGGCCAAGCATGGCAATTGTTGCAAATATTCCCCACTATGAGGCAACGCTCGACAACTGACGCTGGTGTTGAGCTTATTAAACATATTTTTTGTGCATGGGAGAATTCAGAGGATGCTTTGGGTATATTTTGTGACCATTCCAAGGCCTTCGACTGTGTTCACCATGAGACATTAATCAGGAAGCTACAGTACTATGGTGTCAAGAACACAGCGCTTAAACTTATTATTTCATATTTAAGTAATAGAAAGCAGAAGGTTATTATCAATGGTAAAAGTTCTTCCGGGTCACCTGTACTAAAGGGTGTCCCTCAGGGCTCGATTCTCGGCCCATTCCTGTTTCTGGTGTATGTTAATGAATTACCTCACCTTGTAGGGGATAGTCATGAAATAGTATTATTTGCTGCTGATACCTCCTTGATTTTTAACCTTAAACGTCAATCATTTAAATGTGACGAAGTGAATAATGCTATATCAAAATTAGTGCATTTCTTTAACGTTAATAATCTACATTTGAACGGAAATAAAACTAATTGTGTTAAATTTACAACAACGAATGTTAAAAATCTGAATACCAATGTGTGTTTAAATGGGGAGGAATTGAGCCCTGTTGTATCCACTGTTATTCTTGGCATCACTCTCGACGCAAAGCTTCAGTGGGGCCCCCATATATCCAAATTAGCGAGCGGACTAAGTTCTGCAGCCTATGCTGTAAAAAAGATTAGAGGTCTCACTAGTGTCGAGACAGCTAGATTAGTTTATTTCAGTTATTTCCATAGCATAATGTCTTATGGGATTTTGCTATGGGGAAATGCGGCTGATTCAGAAACTACGAGTATTTTTGTTTTACAGAGGGCCATTAGAGCTATTTACAACGTAAAACCGAGAGAGTCTCTTAGAGATAAATTTAAAGAAATAAATTTGTTAACTTTGGCCTCTCAGTATATTTATGAAAATTTAATGTATGTTCACATAAAAAGGTAGTTTTAGTAAAAAAAGTGATGTACATTATGTAAACACTAGGAACAAACACAAGCTAATGATGCCAGTTTCTCGACTCCACAGAGTCAGTAATTCATTCTTGGGGCAATGTATTACAACAAGGTCCCGGAAAGTGTACAGGTACTCTCTATTACCAAGTTTAAATGTTTTATTAAGCTGAAACTCTATAAAAAGGGTTATTATAGTATAAATGAATACATGGTTGATAATAACCGCTGGGAATGAGGTGGTCGCTTCCAAGCAGTTTCTAAAATAAATTTTGTAAATAGATCGTAATCATTTATATTATAAAATTGACTTTTTTTAAAAAATGTCCCGCTGGGTTTCTTGCTGGTTCTTCCCAGGACAGAGAGTTTTTTTTCGAACCAGTGGTAGAGTAAAAAATGACTTTCAATAGAATTACACATGTAATGTATATTAATTAAAAAAGTATTCTATTCTATTCTATTGCGGCTCTAGAGGAATCAGTTGTTGTTCTTCTATTGTCATGTTTACGTCACCTGCACTGAAATAACAATACAATTACTTTTCATTCACTTGTAAATAAATTTAAAAATTAATTATATTGCTATTACCTACTCTACTGCTGGTGCTCCGGCTACTGTATATTTATTGTTCCATTTAAACTTCTCTCTCTCTCTGCTGAGAATAGCGTATTGGGTTGCGCCTTAAATACATTCAATTTCTATCATTGTTTCTACCTGCGTCTTCTAGACTCTCGTCCTTGTTTAATAGTGGTATTATTCCCACTCCTATGCTTCCCATGAAATCTTTTTGTGCATTTGTATAAGTCTTTCGATTGTTAAATTGTCTACTGTCGCTTCGCTATATTTCTTTGTATTTCTTTTTACACATGATACACTTTTTATAGCTGTGTTTCCCGTGTTTAATAGTATCGACATTGGCTCGTTTCTAATTATATAGTCCGCGTTTTCGAATCCGTCGTTGTGTGCGTGGAATGTCCCGTCTTGGGATTTGTATGTTTTTTTCGAATATAGATCCTATAGAGTTTGTTGCATTGTACAATATCGTAGATACAATATCATGATTAAGGGTGGCAGTAAAGTGTTTTTTACTGAGTTTAGATTGAATTTGTATGTTATTTTGTTGTCCACCAATTTAGCTTGAGCCGTGCTGTGATCGGGGTCTTGATCCGCTCCCGCTGCGTAGCTCTCCAGTATTTCCATATAGTGTATCTGCTGTAATGTCGTGGGCACAAACCCATTTCTACGGGTGCTAGACATTCCATTTTTTCTCATATTCCGATCGTAGTTTGTGAATTTGTATTTGCGTAGTTTACCGACGACGTGTATGTTAGGAACGGGGTTCTGTTTCACAGGTTTGTGATTTTTATTCCCACCTGAGTTACTTTTGATGTATGAAACACTGTTGTCATGTCGTCATATTATTTTTCTATAATTTTTTCTTGAATTGAAATTTGTGTATATTATTGTGGTTCTGTAATCCGTTTCCTGTTATAGAACTCACATTTGCTGGTCCTTCCATGTGTCCGTTTTCGGCTTATGATGCTCCTATATTATTCCTCCTTCTTGGATATATTATTCCTTTATATTTTTCTAATATGTGTTTTGCTTCTATTCCGCCGTATGCTAACCACTGCGCTACCTTGTCTAATGTCGTTTCCGGTGCAAACGTGGCTACATCTTCTACGAATTCAATGTCCGCAACTTCTATGTCATGTTCAAATTATTTTCTATTTTTAGTTTTTTTGTAATATTCAGTAATCTTGTGATACTTTTCGTCGTGTTTTTTCGCCGCCGCGTCTAATGCGTTGATCGGCACTCCTCGATCCAATGCGTTGCCAGGTCCCAAGTACTTGTATCCAGGAAATATTATGCCACTTCCACTCGGACCTTGTTGATGCGGCGGCGGTTGCGACATTAATGAGCTCTTCATTCTGATTTTTCGCTTTTATATAAAATGTATGGCGTGGAATCTCTTCACCACCTCTTGGGTTGTAGGGTGTGTTTTGGTGTGGTGGAATGGTACTATGTGTGTTACTTTTATTGTGCAGGCATTCTCCCGAGAAGAGGTTCCGATAATTGCCCTTTCTATTGCAATTGCAGTTACTATAATTTCTTATTGAGAATAAATTTAAAGTTACAGCCTATATACGTCCCACTGCTGGGCACAGGTCTCCCTTCATTTCTGAGAGGATTTTAGGGCAACGTAATATCCGCCGCGCTGCCCCAACACGTGTTGGCGAACTTCACATGTCTTCGAAATATTTTTTTTGTTCTTATACTTACGATGTCTTCCTACGCCGCCGAGCACGTGGTGGTTATTGAGATTATTAACCATTAATGGTTCTTAATGCTAGGCTTAATTCGACATGGAAAGTGCATATGAAGTGGAAGATAATAAATCTCGAAAAGAGGCACGATTCGGAATGAAACCAAAGAGCATAATCTATATCTATAGTTTATATGCAAAACTCGCCGCTATGTTCGGCAATGGACTCGCGATAGTGATGCAAAATTATTATTAGCTATTTTAAACTATTGTGTTGCTTCTGAGAAAAATATGATAGTATATTTACATAGATCCATATAATATACTGTATGTGCTGTCCCACTGGGGGCACAGTAAACTAATTGGGCCATAACACTAAGAAGGAATAGCCTATGCTCAGCAGTTAATTTAGGGTGAAAACTTATTTTTACCTTAAGCTCCAAAGGCATCAATATGCTATTACATATGCCTGTAAATTTTACATGACACTGTGCGATCATCCTCTTAAGTGCTTGTTCACGTTGAAGCGTCTCCCACACACACGCGGCTTGCGGTGGCGGCCAACTGCAAGCCGCGGCTCCAGCCGCTGCAACAACACCACCGCGGTCACAGTGACGTGGCGGTTTGAAGCGCCATTCGCTGTGGACACCACACGTGCTACGATCGATCGTTAGTCAACATGGCTACGAACATCACACAATACCGTGACGAAATCTTATTATTCTTATTTAATTATTCCATATTTTGTTTTTAATCCTATTGCTTTTGTAATCACGGTGTGACGTATCATAAAGTACTGGATAATTTTGCACTGTTTCTATTAAAATCTCTGTATTTAGTGCCATTTTGCACGAGGTACACGCGGCATGTTGTAAAATTTTACCGCACGCTCGCAACATGCACGTGGTGGCGAAGGAGGCGGGGCTTGCGGCTATGGCCAGCGGTGACATGACCGCACGGGTTTGCAGACTCACTTACATTGCCATCGAATACAACTGACCGCCACAGCAAGCCGCTTCTGTGTGGGAGACGCTTAACTCGCGGGCGCGGTCACGAAATATCAAACACATAGCATTATACGCAAGTGTTCACGTACAAAACGCAGGTGCGGTGGAAGTAGCGAGCAAGATAGCGACTAACACGCGCGCGGCGCGTTTGCGGCAATATCAAACGTATGAAGTTGTTTGTGTGTGTTCACGTCGGAGTAGCGGCGGAACGCGCAATTGACTCGCGACTTCAGGCAAGATCAACAATTTTGAACTTGTCGATACAAACGATCGACCATTCAACCCAATGGCTCACCTCGCATGATTATTCCTCTCTGCCAGTTCTCTTTCTTTATTAATTTCGTGCACACCAATTCTATTTTTTGTTATCTACTACTTTAAGTAAGAAAGTTTGATTAAAGATAAAAGTTCGTCGTCCATGTTCACAACCTCAGACAACACGTCACAATCGCGCAAACGCCTGGCAGCCAACGTGAACACGAGCTCGCCCAAACCACCGCCCCCGCCCCCGCGTGTTCTCCGAGAACAAGCACTTATAGTTTTCAATACGATCTTTCTTTGAGCTGAAAAGTGTGTGTTTATTAATATTATTTAAGACAATTAATTTTTATAAACATGTACATGTATGGGCAGATTTTCAAATAAAATATTATTCTTTTTAAAACATACATTACTACTTTATTCAACTGTTTTAATACAATTATTCAAATTATAATTTTAAAATTATCGTTTAAATTTATCAGTAGGTTTTGGGATTCTCCACCAAAATATTGTTTTCTCATCAAAGTATGTGTTGAACTTTTTGTAGTCTCTTCTTTTCTTTGGATCTTTGTGGCAATAGGATGGAGTCAAGTTTATCATAAGTCCTGAAATGGTAAATTACATATAATTAATAGATTGGCTGGTGTCATCAAAGATGATATAACAATGACTAACAAAACTATTTTCTACAAATTGATTTTGGATGAGACCAAAGAGCAGAATCCATATCAATAGTTCCTATGCAAAACTTGCCCGTATTTATGGTTTTATTGGAGGTATTCATACAAAATCTTCAACTTTTCAGAAGTCCTTAATATTCATATATTATTTGCACCACTAGGCACCCACAACAGTTTTCTAGACAATATATTATATAGGCATAATACAGGAGACAGATGCTAAGAAGATCCATCTGACTAATGACCCATACAATGATTGAATGATGAATTTTTGGCTATGAGAAGCAATGTGATGAAATTAAGGCTTAAATACTACCTGTGTTTAAGCAAGACATATAAATTCAACAATGTGACCTTATAATGGATCAAAAGCTAAAGGTGATGTAGAGGAAACAATGCGGCTGACAAACTAGCCATACAAGAATCAGCACAAGGCGTCATAGGGCCAGAATCAATTATATCGATTCCCTTAGAGCAGGGATTCCCAAACTGGTAGATATCGACCCCTTGGGGTCGAAATTGGTTTCCCAGGGGTCGACACGAACGAAACTGATTTTGGGGGTCGACGAGATCTAAAAATCTACCTTTATTAATTAACACAAGTTCTTATCTGAAACTTTCAAGATACTGTATAATTTGTTTTACGTGTACCACCAACTTTTTATAAGAATGACTAATATTTTAGTGGGAAGTATCATTGCTGTACTTTTAAAAAACTCCAAAGGGTCGGATAAGCGTAAGTATCAATGAAAAAAAAAGGAAAAAAACTAGATAGGGATAGGAAATTTTCAAAATATCCAGAAACGAGGCTGCAGGCATGAACTACTTGCAAAATAATGAATATTTTGTTCTGGATAAATCTTCCAAAAAAGCAATTTGAGCGAGTTATAACGATTTTTAAAAAGACACGACGGTCATACGCCCCACACAAAAGTAATATATGGCACGCCTGGCGTGCCATCCGCACTGAACCGGTTAAAGGAATGACGTCATACCGCTAACCATTTTAACCGTAATTTTTTCGATTATTCAATCCCTGCTCTATACGTCCCATAGCGATAATGCCGAAAGAGATCGACTCATCGACAACGTGCAAATGGCTACAGATTCCTTGCTACAGCAGATCCCATCCGCAGAGATCGTGATCCTTGGCAACTTTACCGTCCACAATGCTGAATGGCTCGGTTCACATTCAACCGATCATGCGGGGAGATCTGTTTATGACTTTGCCTTGGCATATGGTCTTACACAACTGGTTACTTCGCCTACGGGGATTCCAGATGTGGAGGATCATGCACCTTCCCTGTTGGACCTTCTGGTGACCTCTTGTCTGGACGGATATCAGGTTTCCGTCGACGCTCCTTTAGGCTCGTCGGACCATTGTCTCGTCCGGAGTGTGGTGCCACTCACACAACTAACGTCGCGGTTGCATTCTGCAGGCTGCGGCCGTGTTTGGCACAATAGGTAGGCCGATTGGTATAGGATGCGGTCTTTTTTTGCATACTACCCTTGGGGTGGGTTTGCTTCTCGCCGGAAGATCCCAGCGTTGTTGCTGATGTGGTACTTCAGGGTATGGAACTTTTTATTCCATCCTCTGTGGTGCCCTGGTGGTGGAGGCAGATCCCAGCCATGGTTTGGTCGCCCCTGTAAAATAGCATTACGCTATAAGCAGGAGTGCTACCGAGCCTGGGCTGACGCATCAACGTCTTGGGAAGTAAACACTAGCGCCCTTAAAAAGAAGTATTATAATTCCGCCTCCTGGTCCTGGTCCTTCAAAAGAGTCTTTGCCAAGGCACATTGGCAGAATTGGCAAGAAGCTAGTTCACCTTCCTTCGAGACGCCGTGCATTCTGGTCTTTCGCCAAGGCTTTCCAAAGAAACTTCTGTCAGACATCTTTTCCATCTCTGCACAGGGAGGACGACTCACTGGCCCATGCCGCAAAGGAGAAAGCCGATCTGTAGGCTCTCTCTTTGCATCCAACTCGACTCTCGATGACGGGGGGAACACACCGCCGACAATTCCGCGGTGTGAGTGCTCTATGCAGGATGTGTGGTTTACACAGCGCTCGGTTCACAAAGCACTCCTCTCCCTGGACGTAAGCAAGTCGAGTGGGCCTGATGGAGTCCCTCTCATTGTGCTGAAGACGTGTGCCCTGGAGTTGGAAGGTTTTAACGCGTCTTTTTCGGTACTCCTACTCCCAAGGCGTAGTCCCAAATTCAAAGATGACAGCTTTGGTCCACCCGATCCCTAAAAAAGGCGACCGCGCAGACCCGTCCAAGTGCAAGCCTATCGCTATCACCTCCTTGTTCTTCAAAATAATGGAGTCCATTATAAACTGCCAGGTCATGAGATACCTTGAGGATCACCAGCTGATTAGTGACCACCAATACGGTTTTCGTTGGGGTCGGTCAGCTGGTGATCTTCTGGTCTACCTGACTCATAGATGGGCGGAAGCAGTAGATTCGAAAGGTGGAGACATTGGCCGTTAGTTTGGACATAGCGAAGGCCTTTGATCGGTTCTGGCACAAAACGCTTCTTTCGAAGCTCCCTTTCTATGGGCTTCCCGAGCAATTTAATCACCAGTTTCCTTGCTGATTGGAGCATCAAGGTCGTAGAAGACGGTGCATGCTCTGATTACAAGTCTACTAACGCTGGTGTTCCACAAGGCTGTGTGCTATCTCCAACGCTATTTCTTCTGCATATCAATGATATATCGCAAACTGGTAACATTCATTGCTATACAGACGACAGCACTGGTTTGATGATGCCTTATACACTAGTCTTGCCAATATTTCTCGGCAAAACGTCGCCGAGTACCGGGACAAACATGTGTCTGAAGTCGAGTCTTTGCTGAATAAAGTCTCAGATTGGGGTGACTAAATCTAGTCCAGTTCAATCCCCAGAAGACACAAGTTTGTGCGTTTACCGCCTAAAAGAACCCCTTTGTCTCTTTTCTGCCTCAGGTAGCATCGGAATCCTCGGTGTCGACATATCAAATAGTGTGCAGTTTTGTGGTCACTTGGAAGGGAAGGCCAAAATGGCCTCCAAAAAGCTTGGCGTGCTCAGCAGAGCGAGACAGTATTTCATGCCGGCACATTGCTTGCAGCTTTACAAAGCGCAAGTTCGGCCTCACATGTTATACTGTTCTCATCTCTGGGCCAGGGCACCGCAGTACCAGCTCCTTCCGCTTGACCACATCCAGCACAGACAGTTTTGAATCCTCAACAACCTAGTTCTTTCTGATCAGCTCAATTCACTGGTGCTGCGTAGGGATGTCTCATGCCTTTGCATTTTCTATTGTATCTACCACGGGGAGTGCTCTGAGGAACTGTTCGAATTAATTCCAGCCGCCAAATTTCACGAACTCACATCACATCAAAAGTCACGATACCATCCTCACCATCTAGATTCTTGGCAGTCAGTAAGCTCTTTAGCTTACACCTTTCTAAAAGGCCAGCAATACCTGCAGCACCAGAAGATTTACAGGTGCGTTGCCGGCCTTTTAGAGGGGAGTAAGCCCTCTTCTTGAAGGACTTCCCCATTACCATTACGCATTTAAAACATTTTTTAAATAAAATTTTCAGAATTCAGTATTCTAGGAGTGTGATCCTTACCAGTCGAGCAGAAAGATTAGTGAACAATTGATCAATTTCCAATTTCACAAAACAAAATTTGAACAATTGTTTAATTTTACAGTTTTTTACACTAAGTATTATAAAATCTTGTGTCACATATTAAGTGAAATCCTAATCCATATTTATATTCCAAGTAAACCCTGTTTCTTATCCGTCAGCGATGTAGAGGTATGGAAATTCTTTATACTGGCATTCTATCTTGGCCCTCGGGGGTAACAACGCACCTACATTTTATTTCTTAATTGAGAATAGATGTAGGGTAGTTGTCTATGGACAACAGCATCCACTTATCATCAGGTGGTTTATGAGCTTGTTAGTCACTCTTATTATGTAAAAATAAAATTATGTGTTCAACACAATGTTCTCACCTGCTTTTTGAGCCATTGTAACTAGTTTACCAATCTTCTTCTGTTGCCGACTACAAAGCCCTGTTATGCGACGGGGCAACATACACCCGTCAGATCTTACGAACTGACTTAAAATAAGCACATCCGTGTGTTTGACATCTAAACCCAGAGCACACATATAACATGGTTTTTTCTCCGAACTCTCTGGTGGAACATAGCCAGATAAATTTTCAGCGCGTACAAGTAAAGCTGTCCTCGGTGATGGAACAGTTACACCTTCTACTACTAACGTCGTACCTTCAGTGTGCTCCCGCACTGGAAACATACAAGAATAGTTAAAGAATTCACGGTTTTAAGCCAAGGTTTAAGGTTATGTTATTAAAACATTTAAAATAATGAACACAACATAACTTACATTCTTTCAAATTTAATTGCTTCGTTATAGAAATTGCGCGAACTGATGTAGATATTACTGCATTTTTACAGTTTTTAGCAAATGTAAATCCCGCCCTTACTATTTTTGTCATTTTTGTGCCAAACAGAACATTCAATTCATAATTCAATATCAATGACAGCTGATGTTGTCAGAGTCAGAGTCAGACAATCACAGATAACTGTATACTAGTCAGAGACAGACAATCAAACAATCATCCTCATCAATTTGGCACTGCCAAATTGTTGTTGATTTTTAATGACAAAGTTATCTATTCCCATACAGTATGCTTTGACGTTCCTTGTTAACAAAATTCTCAATATTAAGTTGATTAATGTGTCACATTGCAAACATATTAGGAGATTCTCACGACAGCTAACTCAGTAAAGATTCGATGACAATAGTATCTCAAGGCGCATTAACACTTATTTCATCGTATCCACTAATAGTTCACATTACATCCAGTTAACGTAATAAAATTTAGTTCAAACCATTACTAAGCGATAATGCAAGAGTAGTAATCTGCTAGCTTTCTTTCTTTATTTTTGTTTTTTCTTTTTTCTAGCTATTAAGTTCTAGTTCAATTCCTGCCTCCGAACAACAATTAAGAGATATTGTTTTGATCTTCTCGCTAAAACTCGTAAAACGCCCCATAATTAATACATTTCCCGTAATTAAAAGGCCTATTAAGGCTACAAAGACGTAAGTATATATTATATACGTTCCATCACACACTAGCAACCGTTTAAAGCTGAACGCACATTTGTCCGCGCCGTACGCGCCGAATTTTATAAAATGCGGTAGGTATAGGTACGATATCTAAGGACGAATGCTGATATCGTCATATAACGCGGCGCGTTCGGCGCGTGCTGATACTCAGTGTTGTCTAATGTTGCCAACTTAGTGAATTTTCCACTATAACTGGTGGTTTCGACTTACATGATAATTTTTGTATTTTTTATAACTTTGAATTCATTCGTAATTATTTATACATAATTTGAATTTTTTGCATCGATTATCAATATGTATACTTAGCGATAAATTATTTAAATATTGAACTAACAAAAAATTGTTAAATTTAATTAACAAAGCCCAATTATACTTGATTACTTTATTATCAATAAAAATACTTACCTCAAACATACAAGTCTTTTCTCTGGTTCAATTGGCCTTCTAAATCTTGAGTTTTCCATAGAAAGATATGATTTTGGTATATGTAGCAATTCTTGAAATTTCTTGTATTTTAAATGCAAATATTTAAAAAATCGTTTATCGTCATCTATTAAGTCTTTAAATAAAGTATATTTAACCCTTAATATTCTCCATACAATTGCCTTTTTTAATTAATATTATGAATCCAGAATCTTCTTTTTCTTCGAATTTTATTTTCTTATTCCTTTGTCAATAAGCAGGCTATTACTATATTTCTTACCATAGTGATTTCTAGCGATCAATTTTACTGTACCGTTTCACACCAGTGGTTGGAAAAACTACAAAAGTTGTTGGTAATACAAAAGATTTGCGTACTGCGCAGACGATGCGTACGGGCAAATGTGCGAGGCCATCAGTAAAACTCGGCGCGTACGTCGCGTACGATGCGTACGGTGCGGACATATGTGCGTTCAGCTTTAAAGAAATTCAAAGCGTTACTAAGAAACGTTATTAAAAAGCGTTATTATTTTTGTATTAACACGTGACGGCGATCGTGTGTCCACCGCAACGGAAGCGGTGTGGTGGTTAAGCTTGTTGAAAAAACATTGATACATCAATGTATCGAAATTATTGTTCGATATATCGATACTTTAGCCAATATATATATATATCGGCTATGATTGGCCCCACTTTACAACCTGATCTTCGTGCTCTTATCACTCGCTGGAGGTCTCACAAAAACTGTGTTGTCGACGATATAATCAAAATGTATCGTCAAGTAAGGATGACTAGCAAGTAAAAATTATATTTAAGATTAATTGCTTGTTCTTTTCTACTTCACAATATATCTACTTAATCATAAGATTGTTAGAATAAATACTTTATGGTGCCTAGTCCTTTGATATTTTGCAAATATGTAGTAGGAATTTTGAACAAGTGTCCTCTCTCCATGCATGTGTTGCATGTTATAAAGCGTCTCCCACACAGAAGCGGCTTGCGGTGGCGGTCGCGGTGGCGGCCAATTGTATTGGCTTGCAATGTAAGTGAGTCTGCAAACCCGTGCGGCCATGTCGCGGCCTGCCAGCGGCTGGCCGCGGCCGCATGCCCCGCCCCCTCTGCTTGTTAGCGAACGTGCGTCCTCTATCGGAGGCTGGTGGCCGCAACGCGGTCAGTTGCAAATTTTTACAACAGACCGCGTGTACCGCGTGCAAAATGGCGCTAAATACAGAGATTTTAATAGAAACAGTGCAAAATTATTCAGTACACTATGATACTTCACATCTTTATTACAAAAGCATTAGGATTAAAAACAAAATATGGGATAATATTACTGAATATAATAAGAATAAAAAGACATCGTGACGGTTAGCTATGTTGACTGACGTCCGATCGTAGCACAGACACCACAGCGAATGGAGCTTCAGCCCGCCACTGCAACCGCCGTGGTGTGTTGTTGCAGCGGCTGGAGCCGCGGCTCGCGGTTAGCCGCCACCGCAAGCCGCTTGTGTGTGGGAGACAATACGATATGTTTAAACTTGAGCGAAAAGTTGATTTTACTGTCGATATTTCAATATATTTTTTTCAAATTTTATAGTCTGCATTGTAGCATGGTGCGGATGACAGTTCACTAGAACATAACTTGCGTGCGTTTGCATGATGTGAATAAATTTTTAATTGTAAAAAAAGAACATTGTATTTTTTATTAATGTTTCTATTCTGTTATGACTTATGACTATCACATTAACATTAACTTCAAAAATCTCACCTAATGTAGTTTTTTTAAATAATAAAAATTTATTTTACTTGCGTGTGCTGTTACGTTTTTATTAAGTATACTTACGTTTTTATTAAGATTCTCGTACATTAAAATATTGTGCATTTTGTATGAAAAATACTATTATTGAGCCAGACTGAACTAAAGACATTATTATTTGAAAACCAAAAAACTCTGAAAATTTGACCGATATACCGATATGTATTTTTTTATAACAGATAGCATGCGGCTTACCTGATGATAAGTGACTACCGCCGCCCATAAACATTTGCAACACTAATTGTAGATGCGTTGCCGGTCTTTTAAAAAAAGAGTACTCTTTTCTTGAAGAGCCCTAAGTCGTATCAGTCTGGATTTATCCTCATATTAAGGTCAATATTGACATTATAATAAATATTGATATTTTGTCACTGCCGCCATCCCTAGTGGTGGTTTAGTCTGTTCTATCTGTTGTACGTGATAGGCGCGGTAAGCTATTGTATATGTAATTTTTTTAACTACTATAGAAAGTCCACACTACAGTTGATTATATTTTTTTCCTGATGGCATCTTTCGCCATACTCCAAGGCACAAACTACACTCATTTGTATTTTAGGCAATGAAGCGCGTCACAATCTCGGGAGCAGGCCATAGGAAATGTAAGACATAATATATTTAACTAGCTGTTCCCCGCGACTTCGCCCGCATGGAGTTATTTTTCGCAGAATCCTAAAATTAAAGCAGCCCAAGTTACTCCTTATAACATCAGATACCTGCCAATGTGTATAAATATTGACATTAATATTTATACGATACTAACGTCACTCAACTTAAACTAACACTTGAACTTTATGGCATGGTATTAATTGACTTTTAAGTATTATTACGAATCTTTTGTATGGGAATATAGAAAAGTCTTGTTTTTTTGACTTTTTCAGGCAATTTTTTAAATTTTTCTCTCCGTAAGAACCATCTTCGTACTTCAAGGAATATTATAAAAAAAGAATTAGCGAAATCGGTTCAGCTGCTCTCGAGATTTGCGCTTAGCAACACATTCAACGATGTATTTTTATATCGTTACATTGCCAATATCAACTCGTTCTCAATGACTGCAGTAGCAGGAGTGGACAATCGCTCATAAATTAGTAAATAGTAAAACAATGTTACCATAAACGACGCCGAAACCTTAGAGAGTCAATTAATTATTTACTAGTGTTCTGTGCCTATACCATTGACTTTGACATGTTTTGTTTCAAAATCTAACTATTGATTATAAAGTTTGTGTTTCATATCATGGAAATTACATTTATATCAAAATAATAAATAAACAACAACGTGGACAGCAATGTACTTTATTGAACAAAATTTACGACATTAAATTTCATAATTAGCTTCTTAAATACAAATGAGACAGTATCACTACAAATTATTTATATAGACATTGAAACATTTGCCAATAAGTTTACAAATAAAACATTAATTTCAAGTGAAAAATTGATTTATTATCAACTAAATGCGAATATAACAGAGCCAAAAAAATTTTTTTGAAATAGGTGAAGTAATCCTGCTTAAATAATACAAATATGCTTTCAAAGATTACATATCACAAAGTATAAAAATATAAATAAACCGCTTAGCAGATAAATCTATCCCGTTTCTATTTTATTGTGCATATTGCAAATAAGTGTCAAATATTATGTTTTTTATTGAATTTTCAAGGGCAGTTTTAATTATTAAAGCACATTATTGCAACAAACAATTGTATGTCGATTGACATTCTAAATACGACAATATATTAAAGTAAAATACTTAAAATAAATTATACATTATTTACATCTAAAAACGAGTACGAATAAAGACTCCACATTTTTATGACTAAGCATGATTAAATTAAATATTATATATTTTTTTACGGAGATTATATAATATATATATTTCCAAGTTATATTTATTAAAACGAATGTATAGACAAAATAACAGTTTCTGTATTAGTAATTTTCTTAACTAAAACAATACCTAGTAATTGTGCCTGAGATATTACACAAAATGTGCACTTATATAATAATATAATATAATTAAATTAAAAAAATCAACTTGGGAAAGCCAACAGTTTGCAAAAAAAAAATGTGCGTGTGTGTATAGACGTACGTTGGAAGTTATACTTCTTTAGCGTAACAAAACAAAAAAACAACTTGAGAGACAATTACCCACTGAAGTTGTCGCTTTTAGGTGTCAGATTGCGCGCGTATTGTAACAACTTCGTGGTGTCGTTTTTAGATGTCGCTGAGTACGCGCATCGAAAAAATTCACTCTCCTCATTTTTCTAAACGCCCCAAAAGAAGTATAACTTCAAAAACTACATATAGGTTTTAATAAAAATATTGACCATTATATTACAATAATATAGTTATTATGTATAAATAGTAAGCAGTAGCTCTCTGTTTACATAATATACTGTTTATATTTATATATTATATACATTTTGTGTAATAATAAAATAGAGTATTTATAAAGCAGTCTGTTAGTTCCCAGATAATTTTGTAGTAATGATAATGCTGTGAAATAGGTTGTGAGTAGTTTATTTGGGCAAAGTGGCGAGCCCCTTGCTAAGCAGTCCAGTGGCGCCCTCTGCGCCGTCATGAGCTACCGACGACAGGTTTGTGAGGACCTAGAAAATAAAAAATATAACTTTTAATGATTTTTTTATATTTACGCGAACACTATCGCGTTTAATTAAAAATAGAACTTTTTCTTTCCCGACGTTTCGGGTGTTTTATAGCAACTATGGTGACGTGTCAATATCATAGTTAGCCCGGCTGCCTTCAGTTTTTGAAGATTAATTTAAACACCCGAAACGTCGGGAATTGAAAAATAAATTAAACACATTAAAATCCGTAAAATTAGTTTCATTTAACATAATTTTTACAGAGGACTTTTATATTTATTACAGGCTACCTGATATGATTATGAAGTAAAAATATGAAAGTGATATTTGTAGATTTCTAGCTAAAGTTAAAATCGCTCATCATTTGACCATAGAAGCCAATGACCCTGTGATTTAAGAAAACTGACAAATTATTTTGTAAATATAACAATTACATATACTTATTATAATTTAATTATTATTTCACGTTTTTGTACACAAATGATGAAGACAAAAAATTATACCAATCGTCGATTAGTAAAAGATTAACCGGCAATTTAAGTAAAAGACGAAAATTTTAGGGGGATGTGAATCCCATAACTGAGTAACTCAGTTGTCTGGTATCTCTACAGTATAGAGATATCAGAAAACAGTGTAGAGAAATCTTAAAAACCCAAATCTTAAAAATCCTGTAAAATACAACACAACACAATAAATACTACATAGGACAGTGGATGGCTATGTAGGAGGCGTTCATGTCCATATTATTATTACTTTACATAGGTATTTTTCATGTCCACGATATTAAATTATTATCATTGTTATAGTCCTCAATCTCTTAACAAGTAAAAAAAAAAACATCTTTAAGCACAACAACAGGAAGCATCTAATGACTTCTCGAGGATATGATTCAAGCACGTCCTGTGTGACGCACGCGTACCGTATCACGCTTCTCTGTGAGAAACTTGTCAGCGCTCTTGATGTTGGTGTCGACAACTTGGCTGGCGTTCTTCAGTCCCTTGTTGGCGCCGTCCTCCACTCGTTTCAGCGTGTTGTCCACGGTGCTGTTGACTGCGTTGCTGGCATCAGCTGCTGCTTTCTTGGACTCTTCAACAGCCGCGTCTGCACAATATGTACACAAATAAATAAAATACGCACAGATTCACATAATCCAAATGTACTACTGAAGCTGAGGTCGGTCTAAATTTGACAGAATACGTTCGAACTGACGGCTACAATCAATAGAATAGAATATAATAATTTTTATTCAATATAGTATGCCCAAATACTCGAACACCGCTCAATTTTAAGATGCCGTTAAGTCTCGTGCTGTCTCTATCACTAAGTCAAAGTAACTGACACGACGAGATTTAACGACATCTTAAAATTGAGTAGCATTTGAGTATTTGGTCAGTAGATTACAATACTTATTGCAACTAATTTAAGCTTTACCACTGGTTAGGAAAAATCCTCTATCCTGGAAGGAACCAGCAAGAAATCCAGCGGGATTTATTATATTAAAAAAATAACAGCTTACAATCATGTATGTTACATACACCATTAACTACACAAAACAAATTAGAAATAGCTTGGTAGCGATCACCTCATTCCCAGGGGTTATTATCATCCATAAATTCCTTAATATTATAATAACCCTTTTTATACAAACTTAGATTAATATAGTTTTTGAACTTTGAGCAGGTCGAATTTTGTATATTTTCTGGGATTTTGTTGTAAAGAATGAATTAGTGACTCAGTGTAGTCGAGTAAACTGGAACTTACTAGCTTGTGTCTGTTCCTAGTATTTACATTATGAATATCACTTATTTTGATAAAACTTCTTTTATTTTTGTATACGTACATTATTACATTTTCATAAATGTATTGAGAGGCCAAAGTTAATTTATTAATTTCCTTAAATGTCGGAGTGACTCTTTAGGTTTTAAATCATAGATTGCTCTTATGGCCCTCTTCTGTAAAACAAATATAATTTCAGTGTCAGTCGCGTGTCCCCATAGCAAAAACAAAATACCATACGGCATTATGCTATGGAAAGAGCTAAATTAAACAAGTCTAGCTGTTTCAACACTAATTTCTAATCTTTTTTACAGCATATGCTGCAGAACTAAGTCTGATTACTAATTTTAATATATTATCTCTCCCTCCATTGAAGCTTCGTGTCTAGTATGATTCCAAGATGGTGGTATCTACAAGACTCAGTTCCTCCCCATTTAAAATGACATTAGTATTTAAATGTTTGGCATTTAGAGTCATGATGTTCATTCTTAACAACACTCGTGTACTCACACCCAACTTTGTGTGATACTAGGCATCCTGTGTTATTTGGGTCCACTGGAATAGGAGCAGGTGGAGGAATCTGTCCATAGTTGTTGGGTTCCTCAGATCTCTCTGGGTTCCCCAGATCATCTCTTGCATTTATCGCCTACAATTTCGTTGTTAGTTTAGTTAACAATGTCTGATTGTATGCGTTGACGAGTTGTAAGTTGGGATATATGCGAACAGCTTCTCCATCGGCAAAGTTCCTCTAGAGGAACACAAGCCCCTTCAGAAGTAGCTGATACAGTTCCATACTCAGTTCTCCCACTCGTAAATTGTTGAGTAGTTAGAGAGATAAATAGATATTTAGACAGTAACGTAGGAATTATCCAAAACCTAAAAATAGGTTAGGGGGAAGGAAATGAAACCGGCGGATGATGCGGGCGGTATCGAGGAGCACCGCCTTCTGCATTTGAGCCGTTAGCGGTCTGTCACAGAGTTCAAATCGCCTCAGATGACCAGAGAGTCTGACCGCGTTCACAGAAACAACTACAGGAAAACTTTACAGACCACCCCATATATCGGTCACCTCGTGAGTCAGATCCTAATATTTAGTTCGCTTATCTGTTTACACCTTTGAAATACCACATTTACATGTACCACCTTCTTAGATGTTTCGGCAGCCAAAGAGCAGTGTTCCCGTTTGGAGGCTATAGAAAACTAGAATAATTACAGTAAGGCGTTCCATCTTAGTCCTCAGAGGTGACAACGGTCTGTAAACCTCTTTGTTTGAGGTTGTCTGCAGGTATCTAGTGCTTACTGACCACGCCTTTTGGCAATTTATGTGGGCCAATATTCATCAGTGGACTTGTGGTAGGCCGTAAATGATCAAGATGATAAGGAAAAAACAATTTTAGTTTATTTATATTAATATTTACTTACTGGCAGCTCGCTTAGCTCCCTCCTTGGTAGCTTCAGCGGCTTTCAAAGCCTGCGCTTTAGCATCTTCTGCAGTCTTCAAAGCCTGCGCTTTAGCATCTTCTGCAGCCTTCAAAGCCTGCGCTTTAGCGTCTTCTGCAGCCTTCTTAGTTGTATCTACGGTGGAATGGATTGTTTCTGTGAAAAAAAAATAATAATCATGAGATTTAATATAGAATAGAATTTAAAAACGTGATCACCACTCTCTTAAAAGCGTTTAACAAATCTTTGAGCAATCATTTTGTCAAGGAATGAATGCTGTTATTTGCGTCAACACATTTTACAGCGCCATTTTAAAATATGACTTTTTTGCAACGCAATTCCCATTCAAAATTTTAAGTAATTTATTTAAAAATCATAAGATAGCTAGCTAGCTAGATAGATAGATTTTTTTTAATTAAATAGGATAATAAAATTACAAAAACTTTTCAATGCAGTTTAATAATATTTTACTTTGAACAGAAATCAGTTTCATCGTTTTATGAAATTGGTGCATGTGGCAAAAATATCTAATTCTATGACTGACTGTCAAAAAGTATTTTAAGTTTACGATAATTTATTTCGATTAATCTCGAAATAAATGTAAAGCTGCTCTTTAAACCACGATAATGATTTCAGTCGCCATCCTACCTTAATTTGTTACTGGAATTTATATTCTCTTTGCTTTATTGACACTACGATCGTGACTATTGCCTTGGAATGAATTGTGACGCGCCTTTTAATTACTCTCATCTTCCTGATCATTGTCTATTTAAAACGTATTTTTATTCTAAGTAATTCAGGAAATATATATATATATATATATATATATATATATATATATATATATATATATATATATGTATATATATATATATATATATATATATATATATATATATATATATATATATATTCCTAGTTAGATAGTTCAATCGAGAGAAGCACACACAGTACAAAAATAATGAGATTCTTTAAATAAATATGCTATTCATATGCAGACTGCACAAGATCTAAAATATATGAAGCACGCATTCGAACTAGCTGATGACGCAAAACTAACAGATTATTTTAAAACTTATTACATAATACACCACCTCTTGATGGTATAGCCACGCAAAAATATAACATTGTAAATTAGTTTGTAATCGCCCTTTTCCAAATACCTCGGAATATGTTGCCATTTTCAAAACCCCCGGAATAAGGTGCCTTTATCCTACTTTAATGAAAAAAATAACACTGTTCTATCTGTTATTAATTTCGCTGTTATTTTAATAAAATTATCACTAGAAAAGAGTTTTCGCTAGCTTCTTTAAATTCTGTAGTTCACAGAATCAATCTTGCGTGGCGCGTAACTTAAAACTTACTCCTATAATTAGGATAACTTTAGAACTGGGAAAATATAAAACATGACATTAAGCAATTAGGGAAAACAATCTCTCATCTTATTACGACGGATACCTTTTAAGGAAGGCTTTTTATATTAGCGACATATTAGAAGCATGCTTTTGTAAGCATGTTCTATAGAAGCCACATAGCCAGTTGTTTTACATCTATAAATTGTTAGCAAACAATAAATTATTAGGCAGAAAAGAAATTTATTTTCCGCATGCAACCGTATACACCATAACAATTAATTTTACGGTAAAAGTAAAGTAAATACCATACTCCTTCCAAATACTTAAGCGTATTTACATAAAACATTTACACAAATCGTACCATAAGAATGCACACAGACGATTTAAAAAAAAATTAATGAAACCATACCTTTAGCGCCTGCTAAGAGAGATGATCCTTCTGCTACTACTGTGCTAGCTACTCCTTTTGTTGTGTCTACAGTACTATTAACAGTGCTCGCTAATGTATCTACAATACATAATGAAAGAAAGTGAGGTAAAACTAAAAGATCCACCTAGATGCATATTTAGTACTAAGGTAAATGTTAAATAGGAAGGAAGGATTACAATAATAACATTTCATGCATTGGTGCTATTAATTTACGATTCGGTCAGTTTTTAAATGTAAGAGACGAAAATTTTTATGGTACTCTTTAACTCGAAATTTGAAACAATCGAGTAAGATAAGTATTAGGTATGTCATTGTTTACATAACGGTGTAAGGCGTTCTCGCCTAGTTCGTCTATCGTTGGTCTAAGAAATTATATAAATAATAACCCGTGTCTATAATACTTGGTATGCTATTATTTGCTGATTACGTAAGCAATCAATAGTAATACATTTACAACTCGAATTAGTATGTCATCACGAGGACACTGAGATTAGTTAATTAGGTATTAATTTTTTTTATTTTATTTTACCTTTAGCGCTTCCAACAAAAGAAACACCTTTATCAACCGCAGTAGCAGTTAAATTCTTTGTTGTATCTATTGTGCTTGCGACAGTATCTATGGAAAAAATGATTTTAATAATACCAAAACAATATACACAAGCACTATACATTTCGCTATCGTTTGACAATACCTTTAGCACTCCCTACTAATGTTGCACCTTTGTCTACTGCCGAAGCAGCAACGTTTTTAGTAGAATCTACTGTACTATGGATTGAACTCACTACAGTATCTACAATAAAAAAAAAGAAGGATGTACATATAAAAACACACATAACTACTCTTCAAAGAATTATAAATATTTGAATATACCTTTTGCACTTTCTACAAATGCTCCACTTTTATCTACTACAGAAGCAGCTACATTTTTAGTGGTATCTACTGTGCTGGTAAATGCGTTTACTATAGTGTCTACAAAAAATATAAAATATAAGTAAACTTGCAAATAAAATAAAAATATTTCAACCTAATGCTAACTAATCATACCTTTAGCACTCCCCACAAATACTGCACCTGTATCTACCGCTGAAGCAGCTGCATTTTTAGTGCTATCTACAGCGCTGGTAACTGTATTAACTACAGAGTCTACAAAAAAATTAAAAATTAAAGTAAAAGTTAACAAATAAAATATAAATGTTGCAACCCAAAGCTAACTATGCTAACTAATAATACCTTTAGCACTCCCCACAAATGCTGCCCCTGTATTTAGTGCAGTAGCACCTGCGTTTTTGGTGCTATCTAATGCGCTGGTGGCTGTGCTAACTACAGTGTCTACAAAAACAATAAATGTAAAAATGAAAGTAAAAGTTCGTAAATAAAATATAAATTATTCAACCCAATGCTAACTAATAATACCTTTAGCACTCCCTACAAATGCTGCCCCTGTATTTAGTGCATAAGCACCTGCACTTTTGGTACTATCTAATGCGCTGGTGGCTGTGTTAACTACAGTGTCTACAAAAAAAAAACGAAAGTAAAAATTTACAAATATATTATAAACATTTCAACTCAACGCTTACTAATAATACCTTTAGCACTTCCCACAAATGCTGCCCCTGTATTTAGTGCAGAAGCACCTGCATTTTTGGTACTATCTAATGCGCTGGTGGCTGTGTTAACTACAGTGTCTACAAAAACAATAAAATAAAAGTAAAAAAAAATTACAAATAAAACATAAATATTCTAGGCATATGTTAACTAATAATACCTTTAGCACTCTCTACAATTGAGGTTCCTTTATCTACTGCAGAAGCAGCTGCATTTTTAGAGCCATCTACAGCGCTGGTAACTGTGTTAACAACAGTGTCTACAAAAATAATAAACGTTAATGTGCGTAAAAATATATAAATATATCATCCCAATGCAAATTAATAATACCTTTAGCACTCCCTACAACTGCTGCCCCTGTATTTAGTGCAGAAGCACCTGCATTTTTGGTACTATCTAATGCGCTGGTGGCTGTGTTAACTACAGTGTCTACAAAAACAATAAAAATAAGAGTAAAAAAAATTACAAATAAAATATAAATATTTTAGCCATATGTTAACTAATGATACCTTTAGCACTCCCTACAAATGCTGCCCCTGTATTTAGTGCAGAAGCACCTGCATTTTTGGTACTATCTAATGCGCTGGTCGCCGTGTTAACTACAGTGTCTACAAAAAACAATAAAAGTAAAAATGAAAGTAAAAGTTCGTAAATAAAATATAAATTATTCAACCGAATGATAACTAATAATACCTTTAGCACTCCCTACAAATGCTGCCCCTGTATTTAGTGCAGAAGCACCTGCATGTTTTGTGCTATCTACTGCGCTGGTGGCTGTGTTAACTACAGTGTCTACAAAAATCAATAAAAGTAAAAATTAAAGTAATAGTTCGTAAATAAATTATAATATTTTCAACCTAATGCGAACTAATAATACCTTTAGCACTCCCTACAAATGCTGCCCCTGTATTTAGTGCAGAAGCACCTGCATTTTTGGTACTATCTAATGCGCTGGTGGCCGTGTTAACTACAGTGTCTACAAAAAACAATAAAAGTAAAAATGAAAGTAAAAGTTCGTAAATAAAATATAAATTATTCAACCCAATGCTAACTAATAATACCTTTAGCACTCCCTACAAATGCTGCCCCTGTATTTAGTGCAGAAGCACCTGCATTTTTGGTACTATCTAATGCGCTGGTTGCCGTGTTAACTACAGTGTCTACAAAAAACAATAAAAGTAAAAATGAAAGTAAAAGTTCGTAAATAAAATATAAATTATTCAACCCAATGCTAACTAATAATACCTTTAGCACTTCCTACAAATGCTGCCCCTGTATTTAGTGCAGAAGCACCTGCATGTTTTGTGCTATCTACTGCGCTGGTGGCTGTGTTAACTACAGTGTCTACAAAAATCAATAAAAGTAAAAATTAAAGTAATAGTTCGTAAATAAATTATGATATTTTCAACCGAATGCTAACTAATAATACCTTTAGCACTCCCTACAAATGCTGCCCCTGTATTTAGTGCAGAAGCACCTGCATTTTTGGTACTATCTAATGCGCTGGTGGCCGTGTTAACTACAGTGTCTACAAAAAACAATAAAAGTAAAAATGAAAGTAAAAGTTCGTAAATAAAATATAAATTATTCAACCCAATGCTAACTAATAATACCTTTAGCACTCCCTACAAATGCTGCCCCTGTATTTAGTGCAGAAGCACCTGCATTTTTGGTACTATCTAATGCGCTGGTTGCCGTGTTAACTACAGTGTCTACAAAAAACAATAAAAGTAAAAATGAAAGTAAAAGTTCGTAAATAAAATATAAATTATTCAACCCAATGCTAACTAATAATACCTTTAGCACTCCCTACAAATGCTGCCCCTGTATTTAGTGCAGAAGCACCTGCATGTTTTGTGCTATCTACTGCGCTGGTGGCTGTGTTAACTACAGTGTCTACAAAAACAATAAAAGTAAAAATGAAAGTAAAAGTTCGTAAATAAAATATAAATTATTCAACCGAATGCTAACTAATAATACCTTTAGCACTCCCTACAAATGCTGCCCCTGTATTTAGTGCAGAAGCACCTGCATTTTTGGTACTATCTAATGCGCTGGTCGCCGTGTTAACTACAGTGTCTACAAAAACAATAAAAGTAAAAATGAAACTAAAAGTTCGTAAATAAAATATAAATTATTCAACCGAATGCTAACTAATAATACCTTTAGCACTCCCTACAAATGCTGCCCCTGTATTTAGTGCAGAAGCACCTGCATTTTTGGTACTATCTAATGCGCTGGTCGCCGTGTTAACTACAGTGTCTACAAAAAACAATAAAAGTAAAAATGAAAGTAAAAGTTTAGAAATAAAATATAAATTATTCAACCCAATGCTAACTAATAATACCTTTAGCACTCCCTACAAATGCTGCCCCTGTATTTAGTGCAGAAGCACCTGCATTTTTGGTACTATCTAATGCGCTGGTCGCCGTGTTAACTACAGTGTCTACAAAAAACAATAAAAGTAAAAATGAAAGTAAAAGTTCGTAAATAAAATATAAATTATTCAACCGAATGCTAACTAATAAAATCTTTAGCACTCCCTACAAATGCTGCCCCTGTATTTAGTGCAGAAGCACCTGCATTTTTGGTACTATCTAATGCGCTGCTCGCCGTGTTAACTACAGTGGCTACAAAAAACAATAAAAGTAAAAATGAAAGTAAAAGTTCGTAAATAAAATATAAATTATTCAACCCAATGCTAACTAATAATACCTTTAGCACTCCCTACAAATGCTGCCCCTGTATTTAGTGCAGAAGCACCTGCATGTTTTGTGCTATCTACTGCGCTGGTGGCTGTGTTAACTACAGTGTCTACAAAAAGCAATAAAAGTAAAAATTAAAGAAATAGTTCGTAAATAAATTATAATATTTTCAACCTAATGCGAACTAATAATACCTTTAGCACTCCCTACAAATGCTGCCCCTGTATTTAGTGCAGAAGCACCTGCATTTTTGGTGCTGTCTACTGCGCTGGTGGATGTGTTTACTACAAAGTCTACAAAAACAATAAATGTAAAAATGAAAGTAAATGTTTAGAAATAAAATATAAATTATTCAACCCAATGCTAACTAATAATACCTTTAGCACTCCCTACAAATGCTGCCCCTGTATTTAGTGCAGAAGCACCTGCATTTTTGGTACTATCTAATGCGCTGGTCGCCGTGTTAACTACAGTGTCTACAAAAAACAATAAAAGTAAAAATGAAAGTAAAAGTTCGTAAATAAAATATAAATTATTCAACCGAATGCTAACTAATAATACCTTTAGCACTCCCTACAAATGCTGCCCCTGTATTTAGTGCAGAAGCACCTACATTTTTGGTGCTATCTAATGCGCTGGTGGCTGTGTTAACTACAGTGTCTACAAAAACAATAAAAAAAAATTACAAATAAAATATAAATATTTTAGCCATATGTTAACTAATAATAACTTTAGCAATCCCTACCATTGATGTTCCTTTATCTACTGCAGAAGCAGAAGTGATTTTAGTGGTATATACTGTGCTGAACACTGTGTTTACTAATGTGTCTACAATGTATAATTAGAATAGTACAAATAAACTAACGAATCATAACAGGAATAAATAATATTGTCCTTAGCACTTCCTACAAAAGAGATGCTAGTATCAACAGCGTTCATTGCAGATGCCTGCTGCTGCTTGGTTGTATCCATTGTTTGTGCTAGAGTATCTATAAATAATGGCAAAAGCTACAAATAAAAATAGCAATAGTGTAAATTACTCTGTGCAAACAGACAAGAATGTGCGAAGAAGACGCGAACGTAAAGTATTACATACAAACAGAAAACTAAATGAGCTGTTACTGAAACAATTGTTTGTGAAGGGTGTGACAATAACGTTTTATTTGATGGACCGGAAGTAAGTAAAATCATAGAAAATTTATAGAGTGACCTAATGGAATCAGTTTATAGTGCACAAATACACGACAGATGCACTCACTCGTCGTAATATACCCGAGCATGATAAAAGGCGTTTACGGATTAGTAGCGTATACGTTTACGTATTGGAGTAGTTGGGTTTAGAATAATTTACAGTTTAGATTTTTTTTAAAGTCTAAATAAAGTAGAGCGAATAAGGTTTTATTATTATTGAATCTTGAGCTATCATTAAAAAAACTTTTATATCGTCGGTTCTACGGTATCAAGTTTGAAACTAACATATAAAATCACGACGAAGAAACATCAAAAGACAGGAATGACACAACCTATAATGAAACTAAAGCTAATACCATTTGCGCTATCGATACAGGTATTTGAAGTGTCAGTGGTTAAAAGAGCTGCGTTTTAGTTCCGTCTATGGTGCTACTAACAGTGTTCGCTAAAATATCTTTATGAGTAATATAATTTTTAATAATGAATGAAGTATAAAAAATATATATTTATATAATTTATTTATTATTGCATAACTAGTAGAATGTACCTTGTGCACTTGAGGCATAAGCCTTTCCTGTATCAAAAGCAGAGTGAACAGATTTTTGGGTCGTATCTACCGCTGCGTTATAATTGCTTGCTACCGCATCTACAACGATATTTTACATACCTTTATTTTCTTATTTAAAAATATATTTTGCAACATACATGTTTCGTATTTAAAAATCAAACTATTTTAGTTTTCTATTAAAATTACTTCTTTTGCTGCTTAAGACCTTATAAATCAAGATCCCAAAATCGAATCATGTTTGCCGCGTATGTTTGCGATATCATCTCTATACATAAATTTGTAAGCTTGCGATTGTATCAAAATAATAATAATAGGTATATTGTATATTTATTAGTATGACCTTCTTTGCAGGCAGCACGAGAAGTTTTTTTGTGACTACCTCGAGTAATAATAACTGCCTTCTATTTTCGTCTAAAATAGAATCTCTAGAGACTTCTAGTCTACAGACTTCATATACAAGTAAGAAATTGCTTTTGTATATTGATTACGGACGTATGCATATTTTGACGTGCTTGCATTTAGATATTCGAATTGCAAGCTGACTTCCGCATGCTCACATTGAAACAATTTTCCGCTTATATTATGTTTTACCCAACTAAACTTGATACTTGCTCAGACTAACAAAGGAAGAAAGACGGAGCGCTGCGCAAATTTTAAGTGAAGCTGAAACCATGCTTAACTTCTTGACACGCACTCTCATATACATCTTTTTTCTTTGTTTTTTCTTTATTGGCCCGTAAAAGTAAATTTTACAAGTATAAGTAGTAAATTTTACTAGAATATTTCAACTAGTTGCAATCACTTTCGCATTTTACATAACTCATTAAAGCGTTATTTATGTTATGTGTTATTCGTTATTGATGGCATCGATAGCTCTAATACTGTTGATTAACAAAGCCATTTTGTTTTCGGCAAAATTTTGTGCATGCACTTGCGAATAGGTTACTCAAATTTTTGATAAATAAAGTTATTTTTAATGTGTTTTTACAAGTTTTTTTAAAGGTGAGTCGTATATTTTTAGCCTATTACATAAAACTAGCTTAATTATGCTGTTGTAGCTTGTGTTTTAATAGTATTCTGATGACAATTTAAATAACCCCAATTTTAGTAATTTTAACTATATGGCAGTTGAATTTACCCTCCAAATTTTGTACAAATATACCTCCAGATTTTGTATGAAAATTAACAAACACTAGTGATGTCCATGTTTCGATATTCAATAAATGTAAATACTTATTTTAATTATACTTACCCTGGAAAGGGCTATATGTTTCTATAATAATACGTGAAATTTAGCATTGAATATACTTTGCTACGGTAGTTAAAGTTTATTTTTTTATATTTTTTTTATTGCAGATGGTTCGCCACTATATAAAAAAAAGAAAAGAAAAGCTGCATTCTTTATGAAGCTGTTTTTATGTTCATCTACGGGATAGAAATATTTAAATATAGATGCTGCATGACAAATGTGACTCAAGGCAAAGTGGTACAAGAATTTCATTCTTTAAAAAATAATAAAAAACAATTTCGTGTTATTGACAATAACCACTCAATCATTGACGAAGACGAGATAATTGATTATGAAATAAAATTAATGCATTTGAAAAAACTTACCGACACACTGAAGTTAAAGGCGTTGATTATATATTTCCAATCGATATTCGAAGAATTTCGTTATGATAAGAAATTACCAATATTGATCTCAAAGTGCTAAGTCTGTGAATTTATTTAGTTTCTATCAAGTTGTTGTTTATAAATTCAGGTTTTGATTTTTAAATGATAAATATTTTTGTATTTGAAATAGTATTCCTAGTTAACAAACTGTATTAATATAGTTTGTTAACTAGGAACACTAACTCCGTCTAAGACTGATGTTTTGTGCCAAAATATTATGAAATTTCCCACATTTGATATTTTTAATTTTGTAAAAGGTTATTTGTAATTTTAAGGGATACGGTAAGACTAAATGCTATGTAATCTCATGTGTTGATTTTCAAAATTTTACATTTTCATGGCATAAAACGTAGTTTTTCTCAAATGCATTCATTTTATTTCATAAATAAATAAAACAAAAACATATGTAAAAATATCTATCGACATATATCCAGTCACATCTATTATGGCGTTATTATATCTGGTAGACACTATTTACTATGGCGGCCAGTTGAAATTAACCTGCTAAAAATTTTAATGCGTTTTTTTTTGCAAAAGTAATCCTAGTTACATAAACAACAGGGTTCAATTTTGATTACCGACCCTGTGACTAAACTTAGGAGCTCCATTTCAGCAATATAAATACACTATAACGGGACTTTAATAAATTATTATAATAAAAAAATTATATACTATTTTTGCTTTTTTAAATAAGAAACACATTTTTAAGTGCATACAATAAATATTTCTAAATGCGAATCTGTAGAAATAAGACAATGATTGACTCTAAAGCATGAATGCAATCAATTTTCAGTAAAATCAATTTAGATCGTATATATTAGTATTCAAAGTTGTTCTTTGTAACTTACAAGTTAAAATTGCCCCGCTGCACCTTATAAGTTTATTAATTTTTTTAATTAAAAATTAAAAGAGCATTATATTATCTTGTTAATAATGTATAAGTATTCGAACTATGTACTAGTATAAACTTCAAAATCTCTCTTGCAAAAGTAATTGATGTACGAGTATATGCAGTATTTAGTATTAATTCGATATACGAGTAAGTTATGTAGCAAATACTAAATAATCTATCTGTTGTATTTACATTGTACGAGTATTGTTATGTGTTACATTAGTTACGATATAGTTACGTAATATATGAAATAAATAAATGGCTACTCATTTGCACATTTAAAAATATTTTAAAACGTCGAAAATATGCACGAAAAAAATAGCATTAGAACAGTCATAATTATTATTATTAATAGAGATAAACAAAACATACCCGAAAATTAGTAATGAGAAACATGCCAATATCTAGTCCCCATACCTTTTGTGCTACCAACATACGACTTGCTCGTATCTATTGCAGGCCGGCTAGCATGGGCGGGGGACAAAAATTTTATCCTCCGATTATATCCAGTGACAAGAGATAAAATTATCTTGTTATGTCAAACGGGGAGAAGTATATCCCCGTTTGACATAACGAGTGGACATATATCCCCCGTCCGTAGCATGGAGCCAAATGAAAGATAAAAAAATTATGCTTTTTTACCATTTGAAAGGGACAATTTTATTCTAGTTCATTGGACGTGGGTTGAAGTTTATATTATTCATATAAAAAAATCTATCTAAGTCTATCTCCCAATTTAATCTACTGTGGATATTATATCCACCGTTGTGCCCATGCTCTAAGGACGGATAAAACTAAGCGAGGGGATAAACGTTTTCTCCTTTCCCTGGGGATAAAATTGTCCCCGCCCATGCTAGCCGGGCAGATTGTGCTAAGTTCTTTGTACCATCCACTGTGCTACTGATAGAATCTACAAGACACCCAAAACGTAGATTAAGCCAGAAAGAGAAAAGTGAGACTAAAATTATTAGTATTATTTACCTTTAGTTGTGTTGTAAGCGGACCCGGCAGCTTTTTTTGTGTTGTCTACTGTCGTTGCGAGTGTGTCTAGGGATCGTAAAAAATTAAAACTAAAATACGAACATAAAATACTAAAAAGAAAAAATATAAAATGTCTTCTGAAAAGAAACTAAAACTATGCAAGGATATAATATATTATAGTAAGTATGTGTACAAGACAAACCATGCAGTTGTTCTACAAAGAAAATAAAACAAAATGCATGATTTAGGATTTGGTAGTGCATTATGATAATATATTCATTGATTTCAACTTTTGCGACACTCCGGAGGTTTATTTCTGAAATATCTAGTGTTTAGAGCTCGATAATGACATCAGAATAAATAATATAAATCCTACCTTTTGTGCTGTCGACGACCTTCTTGCCATCTTCAACAGCTTTGTTGGCTGCGTCTGCCGCATCTCCCGCTGCTTTGTCGATGGCGTCGATAGCGCTTTGCTTGGCGTTTGCGGCTGTAAGTAAAATGAACGTTGTAGCTTGTAGCTGATACATATCTACCACTTGTGTACCACGTGTAGGAGCGAGAAAGGAGCAAAAAAGCAACATTGTCTTCTGAAGAAGGCAGTATTATGTCTACTATTACTACATATTCTATTGTTTCTTCGCTTATCAGTAATTTTAGCGTCATAGGTTAATTCTTTATGCTTGCGCAAAGTTAGGTTTAATACTTTTGAGTAGTTGTCTTACAGTCATGAATTTACTTTTTTGTACTAGACTGAGTGTTGAGTATCGGTAAGGCTTTCTTAACATTACTTTAAGCAGAGATCGCTGTGCGCGTTCCACCTTAATAATTCTAGTTTTGCACGCTCAACCCCAAATAGAGATGCAGTAGCTTAAGATCGACTGAGCTAGAGCATAAGAAACCGTTTTCAATAATGTAAGTTTGAGGACATTTCTAAGTTTTTTATAAATCCATATTAGCTTCCGTATTCTTGCAGATAGAAGATCTAAGTGTGAAGTCCACGAAAGTGTTTCATTGAGTTGAACACCAAAACACCAACAATATATGAACTAATCAGGTAAGTTACAAAATACAAGTATAGATTACTTCACATATCAATTAAGCATATTGATGACTTGATTTGCAAATATCGAAACCATTGTAACAACTTCCAAAAATAGCAAGTTAATAAAATAGAACCACTGGTAAAAATTTTCTTATTAATATTTCTATTCACAGAGACTTTTATGAATTTAGAGACAGAGAGATTTATTCGGTATTATTACGACAATTAGTTGATGACGATGGCTATCCGAGTACAGAACCCAGAGTAGGAAACCTATCCAACTGCGGAGAGGTGTAAGACAGGGTGACGTTATATCCCCGAAACTCTTCATCGCTGCATTGGAAGATATTTTCAAGATACTGGCAAGTACATCACTCACCTTCGATTTGTCGACGATATAGACCTTATGGCCATGTCACACCTATGCCGGTAGTTGTTGGGAGCACTAAGCTCGAAGTTGTTGATGAGTATGTTTACCTGGGACAAATAGTCCGACTAGGTAAGTCCAACTTCGACCCAGAGGTCAATCCACGGATTAAACTCGGCTGAGCAGCGTTCGGGAAATTACGACATATCTTCTCGTCAAGTATACCTCAAAACTTGAAAACGAGACTGTACAACCAGAACGTGTTGCCAGTGATGACTTATGGAACTGAGACGTGGTTCTTTATTGCTGGCCGTATGAGGAAAATCAAGGTCACTCAGCGAGCTATGGAGAGAGCTGTGATCGGGGTTTCTTTACACGATAAAACTTAGAAATGAGGATATCCTTAGTAGCATATGATTAGTAAGCTGAAGTGGCAATGCGCCGGCCATATAGCTCGAAGAACCGACAACCGATGGCGAAAAAAGGTACTGAAGCGGTAAGCGAAGTGTAGGGCGATCCCCACTAGAGTGACGACCTTGTAAGATAGGCCTATTTTCAGCAGTGGACTTGTGAAGGGCTGTAATGAATGAATGAAATTAACGACAATTAGTTTATAATAAGTCCCAGGTTTAAATAAGAATCCGTTTCACGAAAGAAGTTCCGCTGAAGTATGTTTTAAGGTGCATAGACATCTACATTAATTTTCGATTAAGTATCAAAATGTAAATGCGGGACTAAGTTAGCATGCCTCTTTTCCAATAAAAGGGGTCTCCGGTTCTCTGCACTCACCATAAGAAACACATCAGCACTGAGCTGCTATTTTACGCTGGCGTTCTGTGAAAGCGTGGTCCTGTGTGTGAAATGCGAACTAAGATGTGAAGTATGTTACGGGGCTAGATTTTATTTTATTTTTTGGCACTAATCCAACCTACATTCATTCATTGTGGCTATGAGTCATTTTGTTCTATAAATTTAGAATTACATAAAACTCTTCGACTACAGCTGTATAGAAGCAGCGTAAGAAAATACCGCATGTTATCCCGTTTAACCTTCATAGTCGTCGATTTTATAACAAGTCTTCTACACACCTCAAACTTACCTTACCTTGCCGTTACAGCTTATTAAAGTCCACTGCTGAACATTCTCCCCCATAGATTGCCGCTAGGGGGGAAATTGCCATAGTTGCCACGCTTGGCTAGCGGGTTGGCAACTGCAGTTTTTTTTTTATTTATTACTAGCTGTTCCCCGCGACTTCACCCGCGCGGAGGTATTTTTCGCGAAACCCTAAAATAAAAGGAGCCCAAGTTACTCCTTATAACATCAGCTTTCTGCCAGTGTGTATAAATACTGACAAATATTGACATTAATATTTATACGATACTAACGTCCACTAACATTTAAACTTTATGGTATGGTATTAAAGTTCAAATTGACGTTTAAGTATTATTACGAATCTTTTGTATGGGAATATAGAAAAGTGGTGTTTTTAAACTTTTTCAGGCAATTTTTGAATTTTTCTCTCCGTAAAAACCATCTTCGTACTTCAAGGAATATTATAAAAAAGGAATCAGCGAAATCGGTTCAGTTGCTCTCGAGATTTGCGCTTAGCAACACATTCAGCGATTCATTTTTATATTATAGATAAGGAAGACCCTGCTGTCCATCTCCTGATGTTTTCCCTCTGCCGCCTCTTACGACACCCACGGGTTGATATGCTTTTCCTTAACATCCTGTAAATAATCCACTGCCGGAATTTATTCTTATAGAAAAGGCCTATCTCTTCTATAAGGAGAAATTATCGTAATCGCCATGTTCGGTAAGCAGGTTAATGATCGTATACACTTCGTACCAGACGCTGCTGCCCGCCATTGGTCTGGTATATTTCGTGATGGTTATCTCGCCGTATCTCGGTAACCATTGCGATTTTCATGAATTTTCACATATTCATCTCTTACGACACACACGGGAAGAATATATAAATATAAATAAATACAAACAATATAAATTTTTTTGTATTTTATTAAAAGCACGAATTATTTTCTCTTATCCCCTGCTGTTCAGCAGATGCGAAATAAAGAAAGTATTTCAAGTTACGAATGCTAGCTGGTGCATTTTAAAAACGGCCTAGATGCAGCTGTAGATTAAGAAAGGCCATTAAAGAAGAAAAAGATGCCTTATAAAAAACAAATAAGTTTTTTAAGAGCGCGCGTAGTAGATACAATCTGATAGGAAACGACATTTAAAGCAAGTGAAAATCAACACTATCATTGATATTGACAGAAAAGCTCCCTTTCTCTTTTTAAAGTTGATGCGCAGTTAGGGATGCCATCTTCTAAAATGAAAAAGCCGGATTCGGCGCTCCAAAAAGCCGGAATTTTGGCCCTAAAAGCCGGATAGTAATTTTTAGAAAGCCAAACATACCTTTCTGAGGGCATGCAGCCAAAAAACTCACCAAATCCAACTCAACAACAACCAAGCGATGCGTGCAACGCGTTACACTAACAAAAAGTCGGACAGGCCAGATACATAAACATTTGGCCGGACACAACCCGAAAAAGCCAATGGCAATGGCAACCCTATGCGCAGTTAATTTTGCGACGCGGTCAATAATTTTAAATATTCAGACTTGTTTTGCTGCGAAATAATCGCGTCGTAAGCTACTACGCGGTTAGACCTGTATTTGAAGCAGGCCCTGAGAAAAAAAGAAAAGGAAATCGAAATCCGATTGGAGCCCCACCGGAAGGCAGCTATATATTATCAGAGATGCAAGCTTCGAAAAAGAAAAAGATGATAAAACTGTAATAAATTAATGCAAAAAGTTGGAAAGGTTTTTTTTTACGAGTAACGAAGCACAAATTACACCAAACGGTAAGTGGATGCTGTAGGCTGTATGTAGCCTAAACTACATTTAAAAAATGCAGATGCACTGTCATCACTGAGGTATAAGATGGAATGCCTCATTACCAGTAAAAAAGTGTAATTTATCAAACATTGTTTCTATTTCACGCCGGTATTCTGTACGCACGTGACCCTTTCCCGGTCAAAGCGACCCATACCCACTGTGGCCTGGCTCTAATCGAATAAAAAAAATCATAATTTGTGTTAAGCTACTGAATACAGAGCAGTGGTAGCTTAGGGGACAAGCGCTCATGTCAAAATTTCATAGTATGCCCACAGAATAAATAAAAAGCGAGTTAGATACCTGCCGTTTCCAGTTATTTGTAATTTTAAATGCTGATTTACCACATGCGGCGCTGATAAACATATCATCGTGAGAAACCTATCGTAGAAATTAAAAAAAATCCAAAACATGTAGTGCATGCGCCCTGACTACCCGAGTCAGTCCAGACCTGGCAGCATTTACGTACCGAAGCGTCTAGTATACAGTTAATGGTAATCCGCTTACCAAGAGTCGCGATTAAAGTAAACCTTCCTAAATTAGGGATTTAAACATGTCCAAAATGCTCATTTTCAACAAACCTGCTGTTGCTGCTGAGTTAGCTGCTTGGTCGGCACTTTGATGCACCCCATCAACAAGCTCTCCCGCCTTCTTCACATGCTCATCAACCACATGCGCAGCTTCTTGCGCCTTCTCCGCTGCAATCTGCTCCACGTCTTTCTTCTTACGCTCGAACAGAGAAGCGGTCTTCTCTCCAATGCTTCGGAACGCGCCTGTAACGCGTTTAGTTTATTTTATAAGTGATATTTTTAATTAAAACAAAACAAATTCTGTTATAACGAAGTATAAAATAATACATTTTGTATATTTTATTAGGACACAAGATATTTCATAATAAAGATTTAGAATTATTTCGACTGATTACAAAAAGTGGTTTATTGATATTGATAGCCTCGGGTTCAAACTATAGTTTGAAAAGAATCCCTCTAATTAAAGTAGTCGCTTAGCTGTAGCCCGTCAGTCATTTGAGATTTACTGTCAAAAACTCCATACATCAAATTTTAGTACGAATCTCCGAACAATAATATTTCCGCGGGACTTCTTTTGTGAATCATATTCCAGTTCTAAGCTGAAGCTAATAATAAACTACTTTTTGTAATATAGTCGATTATGATTTATAAGAATTATTAAAACGTCTTTAACGAATATTGTTCTCACAATTAACGAGAATGTTTAGGAAATGTTCATCGACACACGAAAATTAAAGTCTTAAAAATTAAATTACTCGAACATAATTTACAACTATTTATTTGTTTATTGTTTATTCATATTTTATTTATTTAAGTGACAAGACATACTTTGCCTCTGTAAATATTGGTATTAGTATAACAGATAAGTATCTTTATTCATCCGTGAGTAATAATCTCTTTAAGAGCACATAACTGGCCATGTTCCTCACTTGTTGACCTTTAGTTACGAACACCTGCTTGTTTTAAAAAAAGGCAAGAATCAATTACGCAACACTGAAAGATTTTCTTATTTTTTATACATAAAATGTACTGTAGTTTAAATACATTATGAATTAAGATGAAATAGCTTTGCTTTATATATCCAGAACTAGATTTTTTTTACAAAATTTATTTATCACGTAGTTGACTACTGACCGTGGACGTAAAATGATGAATACGTCCTTGAATACGATTCCAACTGATGGTAGGTGTAGGTGGTGATTAAACATATTTGTCTCTTATTTCGTAATACATATATATATTTAAATATCCTTAATAGTTAGAACGTAGTAAACGGCTCAATGGGTATTGCTAAAATCAAATTCGACAACAATATAATACAATACAAAATTCTGTACGATTGCAAAAGTCATCATAGAGCTTCATATAAAAATTTCAGTTAAATTTATTCATGTTAATAATTACTTGATACATATTATACTTGTAAATATATTAAATTTAAACCGACTTCCTACGGCAGTAAACATCTTCGACAATAATATGTAAATGTGAACTGGTAAAACGATAAAATTTTACGACTAAGTTCTTGTTGTTTTCTATAATTGCGACAACAGTTAATTTGTAAGCAAACTACGGTCAGTAAACATTAGGGACTAAGATTCATTTTAACGTTATCTGTCTGTCTGTCTCCGAGTTATCTCATAGTTGCATCGCGACGAAACAAAACACGGTAACCGGTCATATTTATAAAATGATATTTTATCAATACAATCACAGAATACCAGCGTGAAATAGCAACTTAATGCTGCTGTGTTTCGTATAGTAAGTTAGTAAGTGTAGAGAAGCGGAGACGCTTTTTACTGGGAATGAAGCATTCCAGTTTAGTGTTTAGAATTGACAACACATCTGCATTTTGATTCTTAATCGAAGAAAGAAGTAGATGACCATGGACAAAAGCATCTACTTACCTACAGGTGGACTATGTGCTCATTTGTCACCCTTACACTATTTAAAAAAAATAACCACAACCTATTATTTGTCAGTTTGTCACTGCTGGACATGGTCATCCACAAAGACAGTCATAAACCATGGTCCTGTCCCGGTCAAAAGCCCTAATTATTTGAGCAGATAAATATTTAAAAAAAAATCTGAGCAGTACACATTAAATTGACGGCTCCATGGCGCAGTGACTTAGCAATGAGTTGCTGCGCTGGGGGGCGCGGGTTCGAATCCCGCACGGAACAAGTATTTGTATGGCCTACAAATGATTGTTCTGGGTCTGGATGTTTGTCCTTGTGAAATTTGTGTTTGTAAACTGCCTCCACGATACAGGAGAAAATCCTAGTGTGGGGGTAACGTTTTTAAAAGAAAAAAAAATGGTTTCATATATTAACGTGAATACTACACATTACAAAAAAGTAATATTTTTACGAACATAATTGCGTTCGTTGTTATTTATTTTTTATTCGTTACATAGGTTTCGATCGCTTTGCAACACAATGGTCAAAGGTTTGGTTTGTTTACTTATAATGTTCAAAATACACTTAACGTTGATTCATCATCATCACCAACATTACAGCCATTTACAAGTCCACCGCTGAATATGGCCCCTCTAAAGCATGGTCAGCCACCTGCATACATAGCTTTCCAGCATCCCTTACCATGTCGTCGATACGAGGCTGGCACCCAAGTATTACTTGTAGAATGACGAAACGGATGTTAACATGCGACATGGTACAATCTTTATTTTAACGTAAACGTCTCAGAAATAGGAGAAGCCATTGAACTATTATGTACTGTACGTAATATCTCAATGGGAGGATCTCTGCCATCGTGGTGCAATGTATTTAGAACAAAGACATTTCAATATTTACGAGATATAAATCATAACTTTCATTTTATTGACCTATTGCATTTTGAATTATTTACTTAATAATACTTTGAATTATTAATATGTTACTCATTTATCTATTAACTTTTTATAACATTTGCCGGTGTACGAAGTACATTACGGAGATACGTACGAGTACGAGTATATCAATCGGCGTTATCCGAGTAGCCACTAGCCAAGTCCCGTTCTTTAGACCGTTTACTTAGTATGTACAAATTACCTACTTGTGTATTATTATTCACAGATGATTTACATTATATATTTATTAATATAAGCCAGTGCTTGGCTACAATCCCACCTGATGGTGAGTGGTATTGAAGCTCTAGACGGTAAACCGCACTGTCTAAGCGTAACAAAAGCCTATTCACTCTTGCTTTGAAGACACCCAGATTGTAATTAGACTGAAAGGCAGACGCCAGAAATATTTTTTTTAACTTAATAATAATAATAAATTAAAATAATTTGATGCACTAACGTTAATATGTTTTAAACGCTTACATTTTTTTATTCGATATACTATATATATATGTATATATATATATATCCATTACAGCCTATAAACGTCCACTGCTGCACATAGACCTCCCGCATCGATTGCCCACAGGGAGGATTTTGCCATAGTTGACATGCCTGGCGAGCGGTTTGTCAACAGCAGTTGTGTTATTATTTTGAGTAGTTACCAGAAAGATGCTGCTGCCCATCACCTGTTTCAGTTTCCCTCTGACGCCTCTTGCAACACCCGCGGGGCGATATGGGTAGTGGATATTCTTACACCGTTACATTAGGTACTTATTCTTACTTAATTTGACACAATTTTTTTGTAAGTTTATCTTTTAGTACTACCAGTACCATGATTACTTACAACAATAAATAAATTGCTATATTAAAGTAGCTCTATGTGGGAGCTATTTACGACGAGTACGTGCTTTGAGCAACAGTCTTTATATTTCCTGCCTATTACACTTGTACATATTGGCTCTCTGAATAAAAGTTTATCTTAAAACTAGGTTAATTATTGGTTACTTATAAGATAAAGGAATCTTGTAAGTATCGATAAAAAGTATTGAAGACACTCGTTTGTGTAATATAGTTGCATAGGCCTCCTATCATTCTGAGATTATGAAGCACTTGGCTGCTACAATATGTGTTGTTTTCCTTAGGCAAGGTTTTCTCAACTGAAAGTTTCCTTACTACTTTACCGCCGAGCACGTAGAAAACCAACCTTTAAAATTTTATTAGTGCCGCCGGAGATCTATATATATAGGATAAGGGTGACAAACAAGCACACAGTCCACCTGATGGTAAGTGGTTGCTGTGGCCCATAGACACCTACATCTATATCCTCGATTACGAATCAAAATACACATGCGTTGTCACCCCTGAGGACTAAGATGGAATGCCTCTTTTCCAGTAAAAAGGGTCTCCGGTTCTCTACACTCACCATACGAAACACAGCAGCGTTAAGCTGCTATTTTAAGCTGGTATTCTGTGAGAACGTGGTCCTTCCCCGGTCGAGCCGACTCGTTTGTGCTACTACCACTACTACACCAGTAATATAGCTGCAGCATAGCTCTAAGACGTATAATATAACTGCAGCATGGCTCTACCACTTAAAATCTAGCCCGAGTTGTTCGCATACTATGGAATTAATGGAGTGTTTAGCCACTGAGTTACCACCGAATATATTTACGTAGAACGCCAAGCGATACAGAAGAAAGGCAACAACGCTATCATGTCTTAAGATCCAGCAGAAGATGTCCAGCTGAGTCCGCATTTATATGTTGAATTTGGTAATCGAACGTGATCCATTCATAATATATAAAAAACTCATTCTTTCATTATTTTTTCTTTTTAAGGAATACCCAAAGTTTCCATACGGTATACGAACACATAAAACATAAGATACATAATATATTACATAACAGGCGACAGTAGTCTGGCATTGTTTACGTAACCGCCTCCGTTCGGAGTGAGCTTTATCGATCTTTTAGGGTCGGTCAAGGTGCTTTCAACATGCGACTCGTATGCAATGCAGTAACAAGTCTAGTAAAACTAGGTTAGTACAGAATTGCTAAGTTTTTTTTTTTAGATTATACACCAAGAAATGCCCACGTAATGACAATTTCGTCAGGCAATTAAAATAACGGGCCAAGTGCGAGTCGGACTCGCGCATGAAGGGTTCCGTACCATAGTAAATCACGTTTCTTGTAGGGAAGCCCCCTTTAATTTATTTTTATTATTTGTTGTCATAGCGGCAACAGAAATACACATTCTGTGAAAATGTTAGAGATAGAGAGAGATACAGCCCGCTGACAGACAGACGGACAGACAGCGGAGGCTTAGTAATAGGGTCCCGTTGGTTACCCGTTGGGTACAGAATCTTAAAAAGTACATCTGACATCTTTATGAAGAA